CCCTTCACATTTTATGCAGGAATTGCGCTGTCGCTTGTGCTTTCCATGCAATGAATTCAGAAACCGCGCTTTCGACGCTCAGGAAACACGCTGCGCCAAAGACGCCGCCACAATTTACTTAGTAATCGCTCTCGCCCTACTCAGGCATCCCGCTTGAATGTCCCACCCGCCCGACCCGCCCGTCAGGGGATCGCCTGCCCGTCGTGGGCTCCCGCCCGAGACTTTCTTCAGGAACGGCGCTTTCGCCTAGGACTTCCTCGAACGTTCACGCTCTTACCTTCCTGCTCCTCCTCCCTATTCCTCCTCCCTCCTCCCTCGTCTCCTCCCTTCTCTCTCCCTCCTCTCTTCCCTCATCCTTGTGCCTCTCTGCCTTATCCCCATCTCCCTCCTCTCCCTCCTCTCCCTCCTCCCTTCTCCCTCCCCTCTCCTGCCTCCTCCCTCCCTTTTTTTTTTTTTTTTCTCTCTCTCTCTCTCTCTCTCCCCTCTCTCTCTCTCTTCCTCTACCTCTCTTATCTGTCTTTGACTCTCTCTCTCTCTGCCTCTAATCAACCGCCCCCCTCTTCGCTCCTTCTCTCCTGGCGTTTTCCCTCTTCCTTCGTCCCTCCCCCTCCCTTCCTCCCGCTCTCCCTCGTTCTCCCCGTCTCTTTTTTTGCAGGGCCCACACCACTTCCAATGGCGGGCACATGTGCGCCCACGAAGGATTGTCCGCCCGTTCACGCTTGCCCGCCTGGGTAAGCCCGCCGCCCCCCGCAACGAGAAATCCTCCCCCCAAGGGGGGTGTGATCGAAGACAAAAAGGGCGGGTATCGAGGGTGTGGGGAACTCGTTTTGAATGACACGCGGGCAAGTAAGAGCGAACAGTCTTGTGATGATTGTTGTTGTTGTTGTTGTTGCTGTTGTTGTTGTTGTTGTTGTTGTTGTTGTTGTTGTTGTTGTTGTTGTTATTGTTCTTCTTGTTGTTGTTGTTGTTGTTGTTGTTGTTGTTGTTGTTGTGGTGTTTGTTGTTAGTGTTGGTGTTGGTGTTGGTGTTGGTGGTGATACCGTGTTCCGGGGGCCCGGTTTCGTTGCGGAGGGGGGGGGGGGGGGCGCAACGCTACAGCGCAACGCTCGAGCGCGAGCGTGATGGGGTTGTGACCCCCCCCCGCGAGTTGCGCCTTCCCGATCAAAGGAGAGGAGCTCCTCAATTTGGGTCCCCCCCATCAGAGGAGTTGCGCCGTCCTCCTCAAAGGAGCGGAGGCCAAATTGTTGCCCAAACCTTGCTAACATCAAAGAGTCGGGCCTTCTCGCCGAGGCCTCTTGGGGCGTCTTGGGTGCCTTTGGGGGGCCCCTTGGGACCTCTTGGGGGGTCGCTTGGGTGCCTCTTGGGGGCATTTGGGGGCCACTTGGGGGCCTTTGTGGCTTCCTGGGCACTTCATTCTGGGGTCATCTTGGGGCCATCTTGGAAGAGATTGATCACTGGGGGGGGCTACTTGATTAGGGTCCCCCCCAGGAGGCCACAATGTTGCCCAAACCTTTGGAACATCAGAGGTTTTAGCCTTTTCGCAGGGGCCTCTTGGGGCGTGTTGGGTGCCCCCCAGGGAGATTATTGGGGCGTCTTGGGGGTCCTTTTGGATCCTCCTGGTGATGATGATGCTGATGCTGATGATGCAGATGACGATGATGATGCTGATGATAAATATGATGATGAGGATGACTATGATGATGCTGATGATGATGCTGGTGATGATGGGGATGATGACGTCGATGGTGCTGCTGATTGTGATGGCGATGATGATGCTGCTGATGCTGATGCTGATGCTGATGCTGATGCTGATGCTGATGCTGATGCTGATGATGACGCTGATGATGATGATGATGATGATGATGATGATGATGATGATGATGATGATGATGATGCTGATGATGATGATGATGATGATGCGGATGATGATGATGATGCTGATGATGATGACGATGATGACGATGCTGAGGATGATTCATGATGATGATGCTGATTATGGTGAAGGCGGTTGGAATGACGAGGTCGGTGGTGATGGTGTTTGTATACATTTTGACGATGACGTTGACGATGATGAACGCGTTGGTGTCGATGATGATGTCGCGTGAGCGCGCGCGTGCAGTAACTCATAAGGTCTGACATGTGTTTCATCGTGCGAGTTTTGCGTTTGCATGTGTGGTTGTAGGCCTCAGTACTGACATGCTAAGGATGCCTTTGGTCTGGGGCAGATGTCGTCGTGCGCGCGCGGAGACGGGCGCGCGTGTGGCCTGCAAGGGGTTATTGGACATACTTGTCGGGCGCCCGATACTTGTTGAATGATCTCGACATGCGCGCGCACATGCGGCCCAGACGTTCCGCTCTGGCAGAGTTGCAGACCACACTTTTGGTTCTGGAATGATTCCAGCGAGGACGCGCGCGCGGGAGTCTTCTGTTCTTAAGCGAGCAAGCCATGTTGTGCCTTAGAGAGTGCTCGGCATCCGTTGAGCATCCATGGCTTTGGTCCGTTTGGAATTTCACATATGCGCGCATGTGGCCCGCATTCTGTTAGTTGGTCGGCATTCTGTCAAGACGCACTTGTTAGGGTCAATGCGTGTGCATGGCTCTCTTTGCGTTGACAACGGTGGGAGGATGGGGGGGTCGATGATGCGTCGATTGGCACTGCATTATTTTAGATTTCACATGGTCGATCTCGCATGGTAATTTTCAAAACATCATGTGCGCAGGCGAGAGGATACCCCTCCCGCCTCGGTGGGTGAGGGTGGGTGGGGGGGGAGTTCAGTTTGTTCTAGGTGGAGGAACCCAACGGCCTGTGGCAAGTTCCAAGTGTCTGCAATACTCTGTTGACGCTTCGAGCCTCGCCTGGAGGGCCGTAACACAGGATGTGCTTCTCGTCTTTGTTCTCTGATGGGCTCTCCTGGGACCTGCCTGGGCCTTCTCGGAGCTTTCTTGGGATCCCGTGGGGCCCTCCTCTGACCCTTTTGCTGGAATCCTTTTGGGCAGTTCTCGGGCTCCCTTGGGCCATCTTGGGTCCATCTCGGCCGTCTTGGGAGTCTTCGGTGGCTGCCGTGGACCTCTCTTTAGGGTCCTCTTGGGTCCTCGTCGGCTGATCTGGGCCCCTCTTGGGCCGTCCGAGTGCCCTCTTGGGACTGTCCTCGGCCGTCTGGGAGGATTGGAGGCTTCTTGGGGCCCTGCTTGAGCTTTTTTGGGCCTCTGGCTCCTCCGAGGCCCTCTTGGAAACATCTTGAGCCGATGGGGCCCAGGGGACGCAATTCAATGACTTTGGCTTTCCTGGAGGGCCTCTCGGCTTTCTTTCTTTTCGTGCTGTGTGAGCCAGTTGGGGCCCCCTTCTGCGCCTCTGAGGGTCTCCTTGGTGGCGGTGGCGTGCTTCTTGGCGGCCTCCTGGTGGCCTTCCTGGGCCGCCTCACGCGCCCTGGAGAGCTTCGGAGAGCCGCAGGGAGGCGTCGGGCCGCCCAGGGAGCCTCGGGATGCGGGGACGGTGCACGCGGAGCTGCGTGGCGCGGGGCACGGGGGGACCCCCTGAGCAGATTTGCGGGCGGTCCGAGGTTCGAGGGAGCGCAGACATGGGTTGAGGCACGCGGATCAGCGACGGGTCCCGTTCACATGCAGAATCGGCGCGCTCCGCCACCAAATCGGGCGGCATGGGCGCCATTTCTCGGGGGTGCCTTCCGCCGCCACACCGGAGGGCGCCGCGGGGCCCTCTCCCGGGGGTGCCGCTCCCCGCCCCGTGGCCCTGGCGCCCGCGCGCCAGCTCTGCGCCTCCCTGGTCCTCCCCCTCCGCGGCCGCGCCTGCCCGAGCAGCGGCATGCAGGGCCCCCCCCTCGCGGCCCGCGCCCGCGGCGGCCGCGCCGCCCGCCCGCAGGGGCGCGCCGCAGCCGCCGCCCTGGTGCTGCGGCCTGGCGCGGGCCGTGGGCCGCCGCAGCGCCGCCGATGGCCGCCGCCTCGGACCGCGGGCCGCTGGCGGCGGCCGACGAGCGCCAGCGGCGGCTGCGGGCTGCTTTCTCGGGGTCCCCCAGCTCGGCGGGCTCTGCCGGCCTGGGGTCCCGGTCCGTCTCGGCGGCTCAAAGGTGGGGCCCGGAGGGATCTAGGGCCTCGCCTCTCGCGGCAGGCAGGGGTCCAGGGATGAGCTTCTGTCTGAGGCCCCTCGTCCTCCTGGCCCCGTCCCTCGTGGCTCCATCCTTGAGCCGCCGACCATCTCCCCGGTCGCCGCCGGCAAAGGGCTCCTGGGCTACAGCGGGGCGTACGAGAGCACGGTGCAGGCCAGCTGGGAGGTCACGGCCCGCAGGCAGATCCACTTCCTGGGGAAGATTAGGGCCACCGACGCGTACAGGACTCTAGCCCACCAGGTAGGTCAGAAGACTGTGGAGGACCGCGTGGACGCGCTGTGCGCAGCGTGCTGGCGGCTGTACCAGGAGTCGACCGCAACCGACGCGGCCAGCCTCAAGAGCCATCTGCTGACCACCAGCCTGAACGCGCAGAAGCAGATCTGCGCCATGCGGTCCACGGTCACGCACGAGGACCAGGAGCTCCTCGAGTTCTACGAGCCCCTGCAGCACGTGGACCCTGTCAGCCGGGACCTGGTACTCCACATGGTCGTGGACAAGCTTCAGCAGCTGGAGGACAACACGGCGCCCGGCTCCTTGGTTCACAAGCTGCTGGATTATGTCCGGCGCTGCAAGCGGGGGGGTGACCGCAGCAAGGATGACTTTGACGAGGATGCGGTGGAGCCGGAGCTCCTCGCCACCCTCCGGGCGCAGCCGCATCGCGACCACAGGTCGCGCAACCGCGTCCCCGCGTCGGCCATCGCCGAGTTCGGGGGACCGCCGCGGGACCCCCTGGCGCGAGTCGACCGGCTGGGGCGCGTGTGCGAGGACCTCGAGGACGAGAACGATGAGCTGCGGGACCTGCTCTCCGCCCAGGAGCAGGAGCTGAAGTACCGCAGGCAGGCCCAGGACGAGCGTCTGCGGCAGCTGGCCCAGGAGCAGCACCGGCTGGCGATGGAGGCGCGCGCGCGGGAGGAGGAGGAGGCGCGCTGGCGGGAGGGGAAGGTGGACGTCGAGATGCTGCGCCGCATATTCGAGAACATGGACAAGGACTCAGCCACGCGCAGAGGGGGGTGGGGCGAGGGGGGAATACTTCTTAGAAGAAGGCTGCTTCTGAGAAGGCGCGGGCCTTGTCTGTAGATGTAGGCCCGCGCCTTTACGAAGCAGCCTCCTTGTTCCTTCCGTCTTCTGAGGGCCAAAATGCATGGCTCTCGGGTGACGCAAGCAGCTCAGCTGTCTGTGTTCATCGCAGTGAGCCCGCTGTACATTTTCTGGCGATTTGCGTGTTGCAATTCTTGATGTTTCAAGCAATCGGAAACAGAGCTGTCGTTCGTGACAGCGTCGGCCTGCCTCGTGTGGTTGGTTGTGGCAGGTCCTGATGAGGATGGCCAGCCACACGCCGAAACGCTGGAAACGGACAGGACCAGAGATGCCCCCAGAGTGGGCTTGCTCACTCCTAGATCAGAGGGAGGTGCGCAATCAACTGTTCCAACCTTCGGAACCGGCTCAGCTGGCGAGGGGTGTGAGGCGCGTGCGCGTTATATCTTGTATCTTGCAAATGTGGATACATGTGGCAAACTATTGGTTACCAGCCGAATATTTCACCCGAATTCGACTTCGGCATGGCGCGAATGATCAGGACGCCGGAGCTGGATTCCAGCGGATCTTTCGAGTGGTCGTTGAATTATTGTGTCTGTGTTGTTGTCTTGTGTAACTGCTGTTTTTTGGTGTTCGGCCCAGCAGTCAGACTAGGAACAATGATCTCTTTGCCAAAAGGGGGTTTCGCAGGTGCGTTCTGATTTTGTTGCCGTGTCCGTGTTTGAGTCCGGTAGCTTGGCCCCCGCGGCTCTGGTACGAGTTTTGGAACCCACAGGCGGCATGAACGATGCGTCCCGCGCGCGTCTAACAACAGGGGTCAGGTGGCTCACACCCCTGGGCCGTGGTTGGCGCCCGTTCAAGAGAAGGGGGGGCGCCCGGCGGATGGCCACCAACGCATCAACTGGGAGGCCGCGGTGTCACGAAAGAGGGGGCCGTTGTTTCTTCCGTTTTCTGAGGGCCACCTCTCGGGTGACGCAAGCAGCTCAGCTGTCTGTGCTCATCGCACTGAGCCCGCTGGACATTTTCTGGCGACTTGGGTGTTGCAACTATGGATGTTTCGAGCAATCTGAAACAAAGCTGCTGTTCGTGACAGCATCGGCCTGCCCCGTGTGGTTGGTTGTGGCAGGTCCTGATGAGGATGGCCAGCCACACGCTGAAACGCTGGAGACGGACAGGACCAGAGGTGCCCTCAGAGTGGGCTTGCTCACTCCTGGATCAAAAAAGAGACCAAAGGGAGGTGCGCAATCAACTGTTCGAAACTGGCTCAGCCGGGGACGGGGGAGGCGGGTGCACATTATGTTTTGTATATATCAGCGATGTGAATACATATATATATATATATATATATATATATATATATTTACACATATAGATAAATGTATGTATGGCACGCTGCTAAGAAGCCCCCCCCCCTCCCCCTAACCCCTGTGTGCGCGCCGCTAAAGGACGGTGACGGCGAGGTCGAGCTGTCCGATTTCCTCACCTCCTCCCAGAACGGCTCCGAGCTCCGCCGGCTGCTGCGCGGCGGCGGGTACCGAGCGGCGACCGCGGGCAGCCGCCAGTCCACCGCGGCCGCCGGGCCGAGGCGGAAGTCGTCCGTCGCCAGAGACGCGGACGGAAGTCCCAAACGAGCGTCGTTTGCGCTCGCCCCCGACCAGGGAACGACTGAAGTTTCGCCCGCGTCCGCGGCGCGTCATGGCGTGTCCCGGGGGGGGTCCGAGGAGACCTTCGCCAGGACGTTGCAGCTGGGCGATCTCCTTCGCGACGACGGCGGCGTGCCTGACGGGGAAGGTCCCAAACGAGCGTCGTTTGCGCTCGCCCCCGACCAAGGAACGACTGAAGTTTCGCCCGCGTCCGCGGCGCGTCATAGCGTGTCCTGGGGTGGGGCCGAGGAGGCCCCCGCCAGGACGTTGCAACCGGGCGACCTCCTTCGCGACGACGGCGGCGTGCCTGACGGGGAAGGTGTCCACGGAGCGGCTGCACAGGCGGCCGTGGAAGAATCGTGGCGGGCTTGTTATTTCGAGTCGACGCCGCAGGTGCCAGAGCCCGACGACAGCGCGTCCGGCTCAGACGACTCCAGCAACGGGCAACAAAGCTTTGAGGAATTGTTCCTCGAGCTGGCAGGCAAAAGAGGCACCATGAACTTCCAGTCTTTCGTCAGCTTCTTCGAGCGCAGAGGGACCATGTCACGTTCTAGCACGGAGCGTGATCTGGACGAGGACGCCAATGTGGGAGTCGTGCGGCAGAGCTCGTCGAAGTCCTCCGCGAGGAGCGGGCCCTCGCGGGCGTCGGTCCGCAGACGGAGCAGCCTGCCGCCGTCGGCTGGCGGCAAGTCGCCCAGCGGGCCAGTATCCGCGGGCGGAGAGACGCCCTCCTCCAGCAGTCTCCAGTCCGCCCAGCTGGCCATGGCGGCCGCGGCCTCCTCTTTCGGCGGCGGGAGCCAGCCAGGCTCCCCCGCCAGCCGCCAGAGCACCTGGCCCGCGGGCCTCGCGCGCCCAGGCTCGGCGCCTCGGCTGGGGCCCCTGGCCGCTGAGCTGGCGCCCGAGCGGCGTCGGTGGTCGCTGGGAGCGCTGGGCCACTCCGACGGGGCTCTCCAGAGTTCCAGCCACGCCGACGGGGCTTTCAGGAGCCCCAGCCATCCCGTCAATCTTGCGGCGTCGCCGCTGCAGGGCACGGCGCCCGCGGCGGTCCCCGATCGCAGCGACGATCCCTGCGCGGCAGGGCTCGTGGAGGACGCAGGTGCGGAGCGACTGTCTGCGCCAGCGCGAGCGGAGTCGCCGCGACTTCAGCTGGGCAGCGAGTCTGCGACGGAGCCAGGTGGTGGCGCCCGCAGCAGTGCCCACGGCGAGCAGGCGCTGGGGGGGTCGCTGGAGGGCTGCGAGAAGGTGTCGCTGGGGACGCAGACAGACGTCGCGGGCGATTACGTTGCTCAGTTGCAGGCGGAGGTGGAACGCTACGCCAGTCTGCTGAAGGATCTGTCGGACAGGTTCGGCGAGCTGCTGTCGAGCGCGAAGGTCCAGCAGGTGATCAGAGGCGCCACCAGCTCGATGCCAGCGCTTCAGCGTTGGTATGTCAGGCTCTACGCCGACGCTCAGGACCGGGGCGCGAGGCACCTGGAGCGGCAGGGGCGCCACAAGGATGGGCAAGTGGTGCTGCTGCGCCACTGGTCGACTCCGGACGCCAAAGAATGGGGCGGGCTGGCAGTCGTGGACACGCCCGTGGCCGAGCCGCGGTACCCCGAGCTGCCTGCCGCCATGCTCTTGGGCCACCAGTACCAGAGGAACTCCGGATTCTCCACGGGCGCTCGAGCGGGGCAGCGCGCCGCCGAACCCGCCACCATCGGACGGGGCTAGGACGAGGATACATCCTTCCATTGCGTTCCGGAACGCTCTCAGAGCGTTCTGGAGCGTTCAGAGAAGGCCGCGGCGCCCGAGAGATCCTCCAGAGCCGCCGGATCCCCAAAGTTCCCGATCTATCCTTACCCGACATTTATCCTCAGCCTGGCTTCGTCTGACACCACGCCTACCGCCGGCGCCCTCGGCAGCCCTGGGGAGCCTGGCGGGCCCGAGCGGCCGCGGCGCGTGCTCCTGCAGGACGAGGAGCCCGCGGAGGAGGCTCCGCCCCGCCGCGCGGCCAGCTCCGCCGGCCCGGCCGCGGCGGAGGCGGCCGACAGGAGGCGGGGCGCCGAGCGGCCCTGGACGTCGGGGGGGGCGCGGGATTACCGCGACGTGCTGCTCGCGAGCGGGGGCGACGGCGCCGCGCGCGGCGGGGCAGCGCCGCCGGTGCCGCTCGCCGAGCTGCCCGTCGTGCGCCCGCGCTCGGCCGCGAGCGGCGGCTCGGGCGCGCCCAGGGGCAGGCGCGCCGGCGGCAGGCGGGGCTGCCTGGCTCGGAGGGGGAAGTCAGGCCCACATCGGCCACGCGCGGAGGGGGGCGGGGGGAAGGGGCGAGGGCTTCTGAGAAGCACCCCCGCCTCTTGGAAGGCGCGGGCCTTGTCTGTAGATGCAGGGCTGGCGCCTTCGAAGCAGCAGGCTCCTTCCGAGAAGCCCTCCCCCGCCCCCTACCACCTTGTGCGCGCCGCCAGCCTACAGTCGGGGGGCCTCAGCTGGCCACTGGCTTTTGGGATGCAGTTCCTGGGGGGTTAGATTCAGCACCGGGGCTCGTATATCCGCGGTCGAAGCCAGGCCCAATTCCGGCATAATCCCAAGTCATCACGCTTAAATCATACCGCCTAGTTTGGCTTACACTTGGGCTTCATCCTGTGTTTGTAACCCATGACAAGCCAGGTGTAGTGGATCTTCAGTCCTGGCTTAATCGTTTTGAATCGTTCTTGCGAAGACCTCCCAGAAGTTGCCTCCCAGAGCCACCTCGCCTTTGTCGCCGTCTGTCGAGGGTCGGGGTTCTCCGGCGCCTCTGCGGCGTTCTTGCTGGCGCCTCTATGGGCTTTTCGGGGGGCTAGCATCAGCGGAGCCGCGCTACTTTTGCTGGCGGCTGTGGGGTCGTCGGGAGAGATCAACAGTATACACCACGCCGATTCTGGGATCGTTGCAAGCGCTCGCTGGCTTGGCCGGGAATCGAAGACGGGAAAACGCCATCGGCATAAGTGTTCGACGGTCTGTGCGGATTTCTTCGGTCGGCGCTGGGCCCCCCGGCGGCGCTTCCGGCGCCGCCCCCGTTCGCGCTCCGCAGATCGAAGAAATCCGCGCGGCGCTGGAGGGCCGATTCAAGATCGACGCTTTCCCGCCGAGCCCATTGTTCCCTATCGTTGACCCTCAGGCGCGGACGGAGCGGGCGGAGAAGTCGTCTGCGGGCGTCTGAAAGTTTTCGTGTCTGTGATTGGCGCCAGCAAAAGGATCACTGATTCTGGCGCGGGCGTTTGTGCGTCGGCTGCCAGCGTCCGGCAGTGCGTATAGAGGCGACCTGGCGACCTGTCTTTCTGCGCGGCGTGCCACGTCAGTGGCCCGTGCGAGCCATCGCGTAGGGTCGCCCCGTCCTCAAGGCAAGACCCTTTCCTCTGCGTCGGTCAGGTTCAGCCGATCTCCATCCCAATTGGGCCATGATATCTCAGACCCGCCATATCCCCCACCCAGATAGATTTCGCGAAGCCCTAAGAGATCAGCGTACATCCCCAGCACGGGGGCAAATTGGCCAGTGGGCCAATGCCATGCCAGTGAGGATAGGGATCGGCTAAACAGGAATGTATTCATGTTCCAGACATGCATTAAATATGTTAGCCAGCGTTGACCCCGAACAGTGTGCTTCTAGCAATCTATTCTGTGCCATCGATGTGGAGCAGAATATGTGGTGCAGCCAATGCAGTGCCATACATGCGGTGCAAAACATGTGATGCAGCCTATGTGGTGCGATCTATGTTGTGCCATCTATGCGTTGTATAATCTGCTGTTCGATCTATGCGGAACACTCTAGGTGGTGCAATCTGTGGTGGGCAATCTATGTGGAGCCATGTTCGTGGTGCAACATATGTTGTGCGAGCTAGGTGGTGCGATCTATGTGGTTCCCCAATCAGAGCTTGCCTCTGTAGGGGTCCTAGCGGATTCATATGGTTAGGTGAGCTACGTCGCCGACTTCGTGGGCGGGCCCGGGTGCCAGGGTGCCCGGGGGTGCCCCGGTGCCCCGGAGCCGGGGTGCCCAGGGGTGCCCAGGGGTGACCGGAGGTGCCTTGAGGTGTTTTGAGGTGCCCTGAGGTGCCCAGAGGTGCCCGGGTGCCCAGGTGCTTTATCGTTATATATATATATATCCTTGTGGCGCTATAGCCCTATAGCCCTACAGCCCTATAGCCCTATAGCCCTATAGCCCTAAATCCCTATAGCCCTATAGCCCTACAGCCTTATAGCCCTATCACCCTATGACCCTATAGCCCTATAGCTCTATAGCCCTATAGCCCCCAATAGCCCCCAATAGCCCCGTAGAGCCCTATAGCCCTATAGCCCTACAGCCGTATAGCCCTGTAGCCCTACAGCCCTGTAGTCCTATAACCCTATAGCCCTATAGCCCTATAGCCCTATCTCCTCATAGCCCTATAGCCCTATAGCCTTATAGCCCTATAGCCCTATAACCCTATAGCCCCTATAGCCCTATAGCCCTATAGCCCTATAATCCTATAACCCTTTAGCCCTATAGCCCTATATCCTCATAGCCCTATAGCCCTATATCCTCATAGCCCTATAGCCCTATAGCCCTATAGCCCCCAATAGCCCAATAGCCCTATAGCCCTATAGCCCTATAGCCCTATAGCCCTATAGCCCTATATCCCTATAGCCCTATAGCCCTATAGCCCTTGCCCTCATGGCCTTCATAGCCCTCGCAGACTCCATCAACCTAAGGAGCAATTGCAAAGGGATCTCATGTAAGATCAAAAAAGACTCTGATTTGGTCTTTTATCCGGTATCAAGCAGTCTATGTGGTGCGATCAATGATGTGCAATCCATTTCGTGCAATACAGGTGGTGCAATCGACGCGCTGCGATACATGTGGTGAGATATGTGGTGCAATCTACGTTGTGCGCAACCAATGTGGTGCAACACATGTGGCGCGGTTGATTTTAACAAAATGAGTTGACACATCCCATCCCACCCACCCACCCGCAAGTTGGTTTGCAACATCCATGCGGAGGCGACTGCGATGCATGCTTGACGTTGGCAGGTGCATCTTTGCGGCCGCGCCAACCCAAGCACGCGGGCGCAGCGGCCAGCTAGTTTGGCGC